ATCCCCACCCCCTGCCAGTTCGCTCCTCTCTTTTAAAAGTAAAAGAAACACTCCCTCCCTGGGACACAATCCCCCTATACCCTTCCCACCACCCCAAGTACACTCCACTATGCAACCTTAATTGTGGACTCTTGTGTGTCTTGGAAATCTTAAGGGGTTCTTTATATATATGGGATTAACGAAGGTGTTTAAGGAAAGTGTCAGATTTAAGCTTTAGGAATAGTCCCTCCCAATATATGACTTCTTCATTTATTTGAAGAAGTAAATTTCCTTTTCTTTCAAAAAGCAAAAGTGTTTAACTATAGTTAAAAAAATCAACATATCTTATTTTTTCACAATTCATGAGTTTTTTTGTGGTTCAAGGAAATCTTGGCTAACTAATGGTGACAAAAATGTTCTTAATTTAAAAATGTTTTCTTCTGAAGTAGCAGCGCTTTAGCTCTTCTATTTAGGTGAATATTCAATATTTCAAAATGCATATGCTACAACATAAGAGTCAGTGGGTTTTGTTCTGCATGTGAATATCTAACTGCTCAGAATCACTTGTGAAAACACTACCTTCTCTCTCTGAATTACAGAGAGTTCAGAGTAACCTCTACCACTAATTCACTCCCACTACTATCATATGCTGCCAAGGACTTCTTTGAAGTGCTGTTAGGAAAGATAGCAGTTTAAAAATTAATATGAGCCTGATCCAACTCATTTTCAAATACTTCATATGAAAGTTGGACAATGACTAAGGAAGACTAAAGACTTCATGCCTTTGAACTATGGTACTGGCAAAGAAAAATGAATATACCACAGAATGTCAAAGAATAAACAAAAAAACATCTTGGCTTTATTCTCAACACAAGGACAAGTCTAGGTTTGATGGAGCTGACCTAAGTGTGTACATACACACACACACACTCACTAGACTATGTCAGTCATGGGGCACACACACTCACTCTCTCCCCACACTAGACTATGTCAGTCGTGGGGCAAAGGCAGCTCTGAGAAATTTCCCAGTCATAAGAATGCACCATCCTCAATCAGATTAGAAAAGATCAATACATTACCTTTATCTGCTCTAGAGCAAAAGATGAACCATCTTGTTGTAAATTCTCAATAATCTGTTCTATTGTATTGGCTGAAAAACAACTACAAAAAAGTAGTTGGGATGGGGGGAAAAAGGAAACACATGATTTCACCAATGTGCAAATCACTTCCTACTGCTAAGATAGTAACGAAGCTGAACACTGGCTTCTCCCTACTCCCCACTACCGTCTTTTCCATCTATTTTACAAGTTAAAATAAAATACTATTTCTCTGGTGGTGTTTATAGTCTACCTTAACTAATGTGAAATAAAGTCTAAATTCTCTTTTGCTTTCATGAATCTGTTTTTATATGTAAATGATATCTCAACTACTAAAATATGGTGCTTTTAAATGAATAAATGGTTTTATTTTTCCTTAGTTCCCCATTTTCCTCAATTTATCTATTAACTTTAAAATCACTGCAGGAGAATCTTTTCTGGATCTAATTGAGAAGATATCCTTGGAAGGTAACTTTACAAAGAAAAAACACAAGTTCATTCAATGATGACTTTCCAGCTGTTCTTTCCCATTTAAGAAAAAATATACATATTTTTTTTGCTAAAAATATTTTTTCACTAAAATGAAGAAACATGGTAAATTGCTTAAACATAATTAATTTATCTCTCCTTTAAAGATTTGACAAGAAACACTTTCAAAGGTAAATGACAATAAAAGCACTGTTATCTAATCTAAAATCCAGAACATTAATTATTGTAAAACAAATTACAATGAAATTCACTGATAGCAAATTCAATTTAAAAAGCTTTCCAAAGGAGTAGAAATAACTGCTATCTCCTTTTAAGTACCTGTTTATTTTTTCCATGTGTTCCTCCAGTATGAAAGGCTTGTCTTGATCAATCTTGGACTGTTTGAAAAGGAAAAACTCTCAATCAATTTGAAGCAACTAAAATCTTTTTAAAAATACTTTAATACTGCAACATAATTAATGATAAACTTTATGACAGATTATCACATTCACTCAAATTATATCTAACAGTCTTTTTTATAAATAACTACCACCATATGTTCAAAATTCAGACAGTATGTACTAGTCAAGATCAGCTCTCAAAAGTGTTAAAAAAATAGCTCATGGATTTTCATTTACTATCTATTACTAAAGTAAATCAACACATTTAAGCATTGTAAAGAACCTAAGCAGTCGACCTGCACAATTTCTCATCGTATATACAAATCCCACCATATCTCTAACACACTTGTAGCACCATCTTCCAGATGGAAGAAACTATATCTTCGGAAAGAACCGGTGTTTAGACAACTAAACACTATGATAACTAAATGGTTTTGTTTTTTTTTCATTTTGGACCAAAAACTGGCCCTTGTATGTCTCATGTTTATATTTCTACTCAAATTACTCCGTTACCTTAATCATGGACCACACAGCACAGTTTTGTGCTTTCTCACACCCCAGGTCTTCCTATTGAAAAGCACGTTTATCAAAGTCATTCTTAAAGTGTAGAACAGAAATCTTACCCACAAGTGTAGCTAGATCATAGCAAAGATGACCAGGGATACACATACCCTTGTTTGGTTTGGATATGATCATTTTATTAATAGCATTAATTCAGAATTAGTGTGGGGCAGTTCTCTTGTTTATTTACACTGAGCTGCAATTAATTATAACTATAGTTTGGGTCTTACACATATGCCATTGTAAGCTACACTTCTCCCACCTTGCTCTAATAAATTTGGTATTTTGAATGCAAGTGTAAATTACACAGTGTCACTATTAAACTGCACAAGAAATTCTGTTTTCTACCCCCATACACACTAAGGGTCAACAGCAAGGGCTAGCTTGTTTTCCCTTCACTCTAATGATTAAAATTTAATGATTTAGAATTCATTTAATGATTGAGACTTCAGCATTCTCTGATCGAAACTGGGCACCTCTCTTCCCACATTCAAGCTTTCCAAACTGACATTATATCTACCATTGTCTCCTCATCTGTTCTATTTGCCTTTAAGGATTTGTGCTCTCTGAATTATTGTAATTTTAGTTGGATTTGAAGAAAGAGTGTATATTTAATCCATCATGCTTGATCAGAGGTTTTATAGATTCTTGGCTCTTGCAAGATAATTTAAAGAAGAATTTAAAAGCAAACACAAGAATAGACTTTATTATTATAAATATAAATGCATTATTAGAGTTTCACTTTAGCAGCTCCACAAATAGTGCTCATACTGAAGCTCCAAACAGAGAGATCACACTGTGTTGTAAAAGCCTTTACAAAGGTGACTCATAAGGCCACACTGTATGCATGATACGTCAACTGAGGAAGGAAGGTTGAATAGCTGCACAGTAAAGAAGTCATCTTATTAAATGTCTAAACCAACAAAGAAGAGAAATTGATCCTCCTTATCAAGCTTTAAATAAATCCCTGGCACATTTACTTATGTCCACAAATTATAATACTAAGCTAATGCAATTTTTCAATAACTTCATCTTCCTCATGAATTAAAAATAGTAACAAGATTACCTTTGTATGGTAAGTGTCTAAGACATCTGAAATATCTTCTTTTGAAGGAGAGTTCAGGGCTAACAAGTCTTCCTCTAACAAGTTCAACTGAAAGCATAAGAAAACAAGATTTCAAATCCTACTGCTATTGTCAAAGGAAGCTATGGTGGCTTAGTGTTAAAGAGCTGCAGTACCAACCCAAAGGCACGTGGTTTGAACCCACCTGCTGCTCTATGAGAGAAAAGTGGGAAATCTCCTCCTATGTGATTAAACTGTCTTTGACAATCAGCTGGAGGGTCAGCTATGAGTTGGTTCTGTCTTGAAGGTACACACAATGACTTGTTGTTAGGTGCTGTCAAGTATGACTGGATCCTAATGAACAACAGATAGGAACTTAGCCCTAGTCCGTGTCGTCCTCATCATCTCTGACACTCGAGCCCACTGCTGCAGTCAATGGGTCAATCCATCTTTGAGAATCTTCCTCTATTTCACTGACCCTCCACCTTTCCAAGCATGATAACCCTCCAAATAAACTTGACAATTTCCTTTTCGAAGTCCTTGAAAAATGAATTAGATATCTGGATTGCATTGAACATGTAGATTGCTTTTGGTAGGACTCATTTTAACAATATTGAGTTTTTCTATCCATGAACAGGGTACATTCTCCCCATTTCTTCAGGTCTTTTATTGTCTCTGTGAGCACATTTTAGAAGCTGTGCTGACTGTATTTTCCTACTAACCTGGATTATAACCTTTGACTTCCCATAGATGGTTTTTTGTGGTCTGAAAGCTATGGCTGAAGAGAGAACATCAGAGTTTTAGGATAATCTAAAAAATTACTTGAGAGGTTTTTTGTTTGATTTTTTTGTTGTGTTTTTTTTTTTTTTAATTGAGGGTGTATCTGACTTCATGGTTTAAATTTTTAATTATTATTTTTAAAATAGCCACCAAGCATATAATATGTTCTAGACAAAACACTCTTGGTTACTGAATATGTAAATTGAGGTGGTATTATCTCCATTTTATATAAGAGGAAATGGAGAATTATAAAGTTTAAGTACATTTCCCAAAGTCACAGAGCTATAAGCAATAGATCACAAGTATATTTAAAAAATAAACTGACATCATTTCTCAGGCCATCGTCTTTTCAATCACTTGTTGCGCTTGTGAGAGCTGGACAATAAATGAGGATGCCTTTGAGTTGTGATGTTGGAGAAGAGCACTGAATATCTCATGGACTGCCAAGAGAATAAACAGACGTATATATCCTGGAGAAGGTGAAGACAGACAACTCCTTTGAGGAAAGGAGGGCAAAGCTTCATCTTACACACTCTGGGCATGTTGCTAAGGGAAGTTATTTCTTGAAAAGGGATATCAAGCTTGGCAATAAGAAGACAGTCGATCCTCACCGAGATGGACTGACACAGTGATGGCAGCAATGGGCTCCAGTACATAAGATAAGGGAATGGCCCAGAACAGGACAGGGTTCAGGACTGCTCTTCACAGGTTGACTGAACTCAAAGGCTGTCAACAACAACAAAATATCTAGCAAAAGCCTGTGATCTCAGTTACTCATTATGTTACCTCCCACGTGATGTTAGTTATCTCAATACCACAAAAAGCAGTCATCCTGATAATTACCTTTTCAGAATCTACAAAGTGCGTAGCAATCCCTGCTTTGTGCACATCTCTTCCTTTCAGCCTGAATCCTGTTAAAGCTAGGAAGTAACCAAGTTTTCCTTGAAGCCGTGGCAAGAAATAACCTCCACCAACATCTGGAAATAGCCCTGTAGTTAAATACAGCAAAAATAGATAATTATACTGAAAAGAAAAATATGAATACAATGATTACCTTGTCTTTAGATTAGATAGCCATTTCTCTCAGAGGCTTGATTCTACACCAAAAATATTGAAGTCGGCACTATACAATATAACCAATTTCACAATTACATAATGCAAGGACCTGCAATAAATTGCTTAGTTGGATAGTTTTTTAAATTGCCAAGTGTCATTTCTATAGAAATTAATGAAATATTTGACAGCACACTAAACAACCTGTGTTAAGTAGATAACACAACCTTGCTTGCCAAAACTGACAAGGACTTGAAGAGTTTGCAGCAGAAGGTCAAGGACTGTAGTCTTCAATATGGACTGAAGTTCAACATCAAGACAAAGATTCTTACACTGAGCCAATTGGCAGCATCAAGATAGATGGAGAAGAAATTGAGATTGTTAACAATTTCATCTTGCTTCGATCCACAATCAACATTCTTGGCACCAGCAGTCAGGAAATCAAAAGATGAATTGCATTAAGGAAGTCTGCTTTCAGGGACCTCTCCAGAGTGCTGAAGAGCTATGATGTTAGTCTAGAGACTAAGCTGCACCTAATCCAGGCCATGGCTTTCACTATTATTTGCTATGCAGCAGAGAGCTGGACAGTAACTAAGGATGACAGAAGAAGAATAAATGACTTGGAGTTATGGTGCTAGAGAAGAGTACTGAACATACCAAGGACTGCCAAGAGAACAAACTGGTCTCTCCTGGAGAAGGTTAAGCCAGACTCCTCCTTGGAGGCAAGGATTTTGAAGTTCTATCTCACTTAGGGCCCACTGCCTGGAGGGACCAGTCCTTGGAGAAGGACATCATGCTTGGAAAGGTGGAGGGTCAGCACAGGAAAGGAAGACTCTGGATGAGAGGGACTAACACAGTGAGTGTGGCAGTAGGTGTAGGTGTGCCAGAGACAGTGAGATTGACTCAGGATAGGGCCAAGTTCAGAGCTATGGTTTGTAGGGTCTCTATGAGTCATAGTTGACTTGATGACACATTAATGACAACAACAACATGCCCAAAGTATGTGAGACAAAGTTTGTCATCCCTGGAAGAAGCACTTCAGACACTTTCTTCAAAACTTAGCTGTTTGTTCTTTTGTCTGTCCATGGAATATACAGTATTCACTTTCAACACCACAACTCAAAGGCCTCAATTATTCTTCTGTCATTCTTATATACTGTCCAACTTTCAGAAGTACAACAAGTGATTGAAAAGACCATGATCTGAATCAGGTGCTCTTAGTCTTTGCTGATGTTATTTCTCCTCAGTACTTTGGGGAGGTTCTGACAGCGGACTTTCTCATTGTAACACATCTTTTGATTTCCTGACTGCTAGTATCAAGGGTGCTCATTGTGGATCCCAGTAAGACAAAACTGTTGACAATTTAATCTTTTCTCCATCAAGCATGATGTTGCTTATTGGCCTGGTGGTGAGGATTTTTGTCATCTTGATGTTGAGATGTAATCCATAGTGAAGGCTGTAACCTTTGATATTCCCTCTGGCCTTCCAGACCTTGAAGCACCATTTCACTGAGGGACCTGTGCCACCCACCCCATGATATCTGTATTTTTGCTTAGGAAGTTGGAGGCACGGCAAAGGGAGGAAGACCCTCAACCAGGTGACACTGTGACTGTAGCAATGGGTTTGACTTTGTCAGAAACTGTGAGGTTGGCACAGGACAGGACAGGGTTCAGGTCTATTGTTTATTGGGTCACTAAGAATCATACTAGACTTGATGGCACTTTAGAATAATACAATCCCAACCAAAATCACAGCAACATTTTTTTAGAGGTTGTTGAAACTGTCAAACTAATTTTAAAATTCTAAAGGGAATTCAAAGAGCCTATATAGCCAAAACAACTTTGGAGAAAATAAAGAATAAAACCACAAAGCTGAAGGACTGAAATGAACTAATTTCAAGACAGAAAGCTACACTAAACGAGACAGTGTGGAACTGGCATCAAGATCCATACAGACAATCAACAAATGCGCCAACCCCATTAGTGGGAAAATGATAGCTTTTCCAGAAATAGTACGGAATAATTATATAACTGTAAATAGAATAATAAAATTTTCAGTTAATATATTCTTATTTTTGTGTTTTCAGATATAATTAATGACCTAATAAAAATCTTAATATCTTCTCATTTTAATTTCTCTAAAAGGCCTTCACTGTTGTATTTTACATAAGATTTCATCAATTTTTTCAATAACAGGATATAATCTGAAGTACATTAGAGGGAAATAGTCTAAAATTAATTAATATATTTTTGTTTGTTTGTTTGTTTTACCAATTCCTGTTTCTGGCATTGCAAAGAGAGTCTTTTCAGTAGCCACTCGAAAGTGCCCATGAACTGAAACACCAACTCCCTAGAGAAATAAAAAAAATAAATAAATAAAAATGCTATAGCACAAACAAATTTACTAATATTATAAAGCAAGTCAATTATCTTTATATTGCATAGATTAAAGGTACAGGATGTTGGGAAACCCTAAACCACATAATTTCAAAAGAATTTGGGGAGCAAATATAGAGAGAGATCTACCTGATATCTGGAATTGCTTGATTCTAGCTAAGATGTTCTCAGCAAATGTACTGGGTTACCCTTCATGTCCTGTTTCCCCAGTTCCCTCTTACTTCAGTACAGACGTGGCATTCATTATAAAGCTGTCACATAAATTCCATGTTACACTCTTTTTACATTATTCAGAACTTCTTTTGATCTTCTCAATCCTCCTCATTCTTAATCCTTTTTGTAAAAGCGCTGTATTTTATCTTTCACATCATTAACTGAATTCATTCACTATTTGAAGAATTTGGAACATTATCTGACACCTAAATGAGTACTATAATAGGTTTCCTATTACGGCGTCATGTCCACCTCAGTCTGATTCATCCCTAAAATCTTCTCAACTCTTTCAAGTGTTTAATACTTATTTATGTCAGTTTTTAAAACTTTTAAAAAGCTTTATATATATGCAATTTCCTATCAAGCATTTATACTGTGCACGAAATTTAGGGCGCTCTGATGGTACAGTCTGTAGGTCGAAAGGCAGTGTCTCTAGCAGCTTGAGCCCACCAGTTGCTCCTAAGGACCAAGACGGGCATGCCCCTCTAACTGCAGTCAGTCCATTAAGAGACTAGATGAGGGTCACTGAGAGTCAGAACCGACTCCACGGCAGTAAGTCTGAGAGGGTTTGACTCTAAATTCCATAGAGAGTTGTCCTGCTCGCCCAGAGATGGAGCTTCTGTGGCAGGGTGAATCCATCAGGGGCCCTCTGGGGGAATGATGGACAATCTCTTCCCATGGGGTAGACAGAGCCCCAAACCCCAGGGAGGGCCAATTATGAGTCAGTTTTGGCTCCATAGCAATGAGTTTTCACAGTTTGAGAAGTCTAAATTTTGAAAAATTATGCAAAGAAACATGGATATGAATAGAATCCTTCAGTCATTATCTATATCCAACATTTATCAGTTAAATCCACAATGTTAGATACTCTCTACAGAAGCAAAAATGATAGGTGTGATAAGTAAGTATTCTGTTAGGAAACACGCTGATAATGTTGATCCAAGTTAGGTTTTATATAATCTTGAAGTATACGCAACAATAGAAATTCTCATAAAAATACAACACTATTGAGCACACAGTTCAAACCCACCATGCGATCAATTGCCTCTGAAAACCTGCCAGAGGTTCAGCTATGGATTGGTTCCAATTCAGTGGTACACATCAACAACATTAGTTACATTAATGAGCACTTTTATAATTAGTGGCCTACTGGTAAGAAACTGTGCTGCAATCTCAAAGGCAACCAGTTCAAATCTACCAGGTGCTCTGTGGGAGAAGGATAGGCAATCTCTTTTCATGTGATTCATTGCCTCTGAAAACCAGCTGATGGGTCATTTTATAGGTTGATTCTGACTCAATGGCACACCATAACAAAAGTTTACTAATAACCCTTTGAATTCTTTTAGGGAAGGAACTCTGGTGACCCAGTGGCAAGGAGTTGCACTTGTTAACCCAAAGGTGGCACCTCTATGGTAGTTGGAATACCCCAGCTTCTCTGAGGGAAGATGGCAATCTCCTCCCTGCTCTTCACAGCCTCTGAAAACCCACCATGAGGACAGCTGAGCTGGTTCTGACTCATTGGCACATGACAACATTCTTTTAGGGAGCTCTGGTGGCTTATAAACCCTTGATTCATAGTCTTTTCTCCACGTTCAGCTTATCCCACTGCAACTAGTGTTCAAGAACATCTTTGTAAAAACTTTGAAAGAGAAGGCTGCACTGGATTGGCTGCTTTTCCGACTATTTTCCTAGGTCTTTGGAGGCCAGGGAGCTCTGTCTCACATCTGGGATCTCTGCTCAGCTGATAGACTGCCAGGTCCAAATGACTAAGCTTGAGTCCATCAGAACTCCTCTGTTTATTCCCCCGGTACCTCTTTAAAATTAACTCTGACCACCTCGGAACTCTTCTTCACCTCTGGTGGCAGTGTAAAATGGTCCAGCAACAATGGAAGTCTGGCACATTCTCAAAACGTTGGAAATAGACATATCATTTGACAAAGCAATTCCACCACTGGGAATATTACTCTAAATTTAGAAACTGGAGCCACCACTCAAACAGATGTATGCACAATCATGTTTATTGCTGCATTATTCACAACAGCAAAGAGATGGAAGCAACCCAAATGCTTAACAACAAATGAATAGAATAACTATGGTACCTTCACATGACAGAATATTATGCAGCTCTGAAAAACAATAAACTCATAAAGCACTACACAGCCTGAGGGAGCCTGGAGAACATTATGCTGAGTGAAATAGCTCAGTCACAAAAGGACAAATACTATATAACATTACTGTTATAAAATGGGACAGATGAGGGGGGCAAGGGCAGAGAATGCGAAAAGAGTGTACAGATAACAAACACTACAGTTGAACAGATGAGGGGAAGAACAGTCTGAGAGGAGTATAAAACAAGACATTATATGTATGACCACAATCTGGAACAAGGGATGCACTTCAGGGTGGACTGAAAGAGTAGGGAGGAGAGGGAGAGAAGAAAATGTTCAACAAAAAAAGGAAATAAATGATGTTTTTTTAAAAAGTTAGGGGAGGAGGAAGGAGAGAGAGGAAAATGTGCAATAATGAATGAATGAATGAATGAATGAATGAAAATCCATCTTTTCTGTACACTTTGATTAAAATCACAATAAAATGAAGTTTTTCTAAAAAAAATAAAATTAACTTTGAATTCCATAAGTAGCACATGACTATATCCTATCCTCTTTTATTATTATTTCTTCCTTAATTATGTACAGTAATACAAATGTATAGCCACTTGGGTCTGGGGTTTTCTTTGTGGGAAGAGATTATTTTTTTATAATTTTAATTTTATTCATATTTATTATGGATTCAATATCATCAGTCACTATAGAATGATTTTGTCTTGTCAAGTTTCAATAATGTATAGGAAACAGTTTATTTCATCTATATAGAAAATCTATTAGCATAAACTCCACCTGTAGAGAAACAAAAATTGGAATTTATAGCTTGCCAATAAAGGTGTTTGGTTTGGGTCTTTAAAGGCTACACTCTGATAGTTAGGGAAACCTGATTCAGTCCTGTCATTTAGTCTGAACTCCAGTTTTGAATCTTCTCATTCTGACTGGACTACGATTTGGATTACTAATACTCTTGGGCGAACCACCTGCCAGAAGCAAAGGGACATCATCTTGCTTGGAACAAGAGGACATCATCCCAGGACTCAAGTAATCTCTACCTTTTTAATATTTAATTAGACATGACCCAGAAATAATCAGCACCAGTTAACAATCCCAAACACAGGAGAAAAGACCACATGACTAACTCAAAGAGGAACAATACATAATAGAAATAAATCCAGAATATACATCTAAATATTTTATAATTATAAAAAGTCCTCTATCAATGTTGTTGCCATAACATTAACCTTCTTCAATAACAGCTACATCATCTTCTACATAACTATTAGCTATCTCAGTATTTGATATTTCACATTTACAGAGTTAAAAATCTACTATCCAACTACTCTGCACATTAGCGTGGGGTTCCTCCCTTCTCCCAGTTCCTGCGAGGGTCACAGCTAGCTCTCCAGAAGACATCCCTGTGGTCCCATTCCCACCACTGGAGCTCTTCAAGGAAAAGACGTGAAGAGGCAGATTTTGAGGGAGCTCTTCTGATAAGGATTCTTCAATGACCAGATGTGTCCAAGGGAAGTGTGGGAAAGGTCGCTGCAGCTGCTACCCTCTACTCCAGCACCCTGTAGGCACCAGGATGATTGTAAGATGATAATAGGGATCGTTGCAAGCCTGGAGACTGCAAAAACCACCAGACACCCTCCTCTCCTGCAGCCCACACTGCTGGGCTCCTCCTCTTCCCAAAGCTGGAAGTCTTCAGGCTCTCCAGATACAAGCCCTTCAAGACCAGCAGCGTGTTGCTCTTTTCCATGCCACCTTCCCTGACATGCAGGGAGGGAGCAGTGGCTGAGGCTCGAGAAAGAGTGGCTGCAGGGGAGATGGACACAAGCACCAGTCCCTACCAAACAGCCTGACTTCCCTGCTTCACTAATTTTGGTAACTCAACTGCGCCTCCAGTTCAGCTGCAGGTACCCAGATTTACCTGAGTGGCATTCCCAATCGCTGGGTCTTGAGGTAAAGAGCACAGGTGTGTCTAACTCCTTATATAAGGTGTCTAACTCCTTGCATAATGCCAGTTTTGAACACAGACCTGTGCTTTTCATGCTGCCAAGTGAGGAGTGGATAGATACCAATTTGCTTTCAGTTTTTCCTCCTTTTTCACTGAACTTTCCATGCCTAAATATATTCTACATATATTTAGATATCTAAATATTTAAATATCTAAATATATTTGTCTCATAAGCACGCTGACATTCTTTCTCACTTGAGTTATTATTAAACATTCATCTTTGCATTACTGCACTTACACTGTACCAATAAAGTAAAATGAATCTGACCTTTTTTATAATTATAATTGTCTATGGACAATACCAACATGGACAAGCATAAGTAACAAAAATAGAAGTAGAATATACATTTAGCCAAATTCTCAAACCTGTCACCATGAGCAGAACAAAAGCTATGCCACTTATTTTCAAATCTGACATCTTGAAGTAAAACTTATACAAACTAAGCCTTGGTTTTTGAAAGATGGAGGGCAGCAAAGGAGAGAAAACCCTCAGCCAGGTAGACTGACACAGTCACTGCAGTAAAGGACTCAAGTATGTCAGAGATTGTGAGGTTGGCAAAGAATAGGCCAGGGTTCAGGTTCTGTTGTTCACTGGTTCACTATGAGTCGTAATCAACT